CCAAGAACCCTAATATACCCGCCTCCCACCCCACCCAATGCCTGTGAGGCAGATGATTTCTACTTAACTCTTCTCTACATTGATTACATTTATCATTTTGACAAAAGATGTACCATTATTGTTTAGAATTTCCCCCCACAACCGCCATTGTGGCCACGCAATTTTGGATTTCTGCAAAGAGCCAGATAATTTAGAGATTGGTTTCTGTGCGTCTGGTGTTATGGTTGTGCCTGAGAGCCGCTCATGGTGGGTAAATCAGGACCTCGGTAGGGTGTGAAGGATGAGCCGGTACCGCCCCCCTTCCCATGAAACTGCAGTTGCCCTGTCACCTCTGGCTCATACCTGGCTTTCCTATAAGCCCAGAGGTGGGGGAGGGAGAAAAGGCGGAAGGGAGCAACACCCTTTCCTCCCAGGGAGGCCTGGCACCATAGTTTAACGCATGGTCCATTCACTTTTCTGCTGCAAGCTGCCAGGCTCTGGATTAAGTCCTTTTACCTCTGGAGCCATGGCTGTACCGGAGAACCGCTTGTGGGAGGCAACTCGTGACCTTGGTAGGGCGTGAAGGACGGGCCCCTCTTCCCATGAGACTGCAGTTGTCCCATCACTGCTGGCTCATACCTGGCTTTCCTATAAGCTCCGAGGCAGCAGCCACCTTGCTGCCAGGGGGGAGAAAGGCGGAAGGGAGCAACACCCTTTCTCTCCCAGGGAGGCATGACGCCATAGTTTAACGTATGGCCCATTCATTTTTCTGCCACAAGCTGCCGGGCTCTGGATTAAGTCCTTTTGCCTCTGGAGCCATGGCTGTGCCAGAGAGCCGCTCGTGGGGGGCAACTTGTGACCTCTGTAGGGCATAAAGGACGAGCCGGTACCATCCCCTTTCCCGTGAGAGTGCAGTTGCCCCGTCACCACTGGCTCATACCTGGCTTTCCAATAAGCTCTGAGGCAGGGCAGCCACCTTGCTGCGGGGGGGAGAAAGGTAGAAGGGAGCAACATCCTTTCCCTTCCGGGGAGGCATGGTGCTATAGTTTAACGCATGGTCCATTCACTTTTCTGCTGCAAGCTTTCAGGCTCTGGATTAAGACCTTTTGCCTCTGGAGCCATGGCCGTGTATGTGGTCCAGATACATTTCTGCCAAAAGCCGCTGGGTTTCAGTATTTGTTTCTGAGTCTCTGGGATCATGACCATCAATCAGCTTGATCAGGAGCCAGAGAGGCCATTTGTAGGCAGCTACTCGGGGTCTTACTGGGATGGGGAGGAAAGGGCCAGTTCCACCCCCCATCTGGTGAGGCCCTGTGTGTCTCGTCACTGCAGGCCCAAACCTGACTGTCCAGTGGCCTCTGGAGGACAGCGGTTACTGGGCCTCCAAGGAGAACAGGCCAAGGCACGAAACCTATTCCTACCTGGAGTGGCCCAGCCCCAGTAACGTACTGCAGGAACAGGACGCATTTCTGCCAAAAGCCTTTGGGTTCCGAGATTTGTTTCTGAGTCTCTGGGATCATGGCCATTAAACAGTTCAATCAAGAACCAGAGAGGCTATGCCTCCACTTATACAGCTGAGCCGGAGGTTTGTGGGTGTTTTTCCCACATACCTAACTTTTGTCTGTTTACTTTCTTAGTAAACTTTGCCCCAAGTTTTTGGGGTCTGGCCAAAGGCAGAGCAGCAATTTTGGGGTATCAGAAGGCCTGACGGTGCCATCAGGCTGCTGATGCACTCGCCTCACAGGTACAGATTGACCTGCTGGCGGCACCATACCCCCGACTTTTACTTTTAAAATATAAAGTGAACTGTAGAGTAAAGAAGGTCATCCACTTATTTAAAAAAATTTTTCCACTAGTCGGGTAGGGCATTTGCCTTGCATGTGGCCTATCCGGGTTCAATTCCTCCATCCCTCTTGGAGAGCCCGGCAAGCTACTGAGAGTATCCCGCCCGCATGGCAGAGCCTGGCAAGATCCTTGTGGCTTATTCAATATGCCAAAAACAGTAACAACAATTCTCACAATGGAGACGTTACTGGTGCCTGCTGGAGCAAATTGATCAACAACGGAAGGAAAGTGCTGCAGTGCTAGTCAATCTATTGGGTAAGGTCTTGCTATAATATATTTAGAATTTAGAATTTTTTTCTCTTGGTCTTATGAGATTCCCTGGGCACTCAGTCTCCTGACAGTGCTTTGGGAGCTAACAATGCCTGGGAAGAGCTGGGAATCCCAGCATCCTATTTCCAACCTTTTTTTTTTTTTTTTTTTTTTTTGCTTTTTGGGTCACACCGGCAATGCTCAGGAGTTACTCCTGGCTTTGCACTCAGAAATCACTCCTGGCAGTGCTCAGGGGACCATAAGGAATGCTGGGAATTGAACTTGGGTTGGCCACGTACAAGGAAAACGCCCTACCCTCTGTGCTATTGCTCCAGCCCTTTTTTGGGGAGGTGGGTGTGGGGGAAATACCCCAGTGATTCTCAGGGGTTACACCTGTCTCTGTTACTCCTGGCGGTGTATTGGGGTGCCAGGGATTGAACCCTGGTCCCCAGTATGCAAGGCAAGATGAGCAAGGCAGATGCCCTACCCACTTTGGTCCCTCTCGACCTTTTTTTCTTTATTTCTTTTTTTAGTAGTCACCATGAAATTACAGTTATTCATAATCGGGTTTCAGGCATACATTGTTTGAACACCAGTCTCTTCAGGAGTGCCCACTTCCCTCTGTCAGTTTCCCCAACCCCTTGCCTCCCACCCACCAATCTGCCTCTCCAAGAGTTGCTTTAAAAGTAAATGCTTTTGCATTGTGTTTTACTGTACTGTTGTACTATACATAGAAAACACTTTACCAGATTTTAGCACCACCTCATCCTCCCATTTGATCTTCCCTCCACTGTAGTCCTTTATTCCTCCCTGTCTTATCCTCTAGCCCCTCTGGTATTACCCATTCTTGTAATCCTTGCTTTTGCTTCACTGTGCTTGAACCTGGTACAGATGCCCTGTGTTTTACACTAACCAAAGAATAAAATTAGTCATTAACATATGACTTGAAGAGGAACAGGGAATTGAGGGATTTAAGTGCTTATGAGAACCATTGTTAATAATATTGTTAAAGCCAAAGAATCTAAATCAGTTTAAACACACACACACACACACACACACACACACACACACACACACACACTTTCAAACAGTTATTTTCTCTCCCTGCACTGCCTTCCACTTCCAAAAATAATTGGTTCCACCAGTTCCTGAGTCTTTCTAGGATTTTTGATACAATTCAGTTTGAATCTTACTTTTTCTCTTGGCAAATTTAAGATCCAAATATCTTTAGTCTTCTAAGTCAATTAGAACTTTTTCATTTAGTGGTGTAACTTTAGTGGTGTTGTTTTGACCTTTTTCTTGGCTATCCTTATTGTATATGCCTTCTAAAATAATCTTTAGCTGTAGTTTCAAAATTGAGTGAAATAAGTTCACCCTAACAGAAAAATTAGAACAGTTATAAAGAAGTAAACAATAAAATAAAACATTCCTCTACCTCTCAGAGGTAAACAGAGTAAGTTACATTTGTATTCTGCTAGAAAATTTACTAATATTCTTATAGAAAATGCATATAATAAAGAATCGCCAATGAAATTCTACTGTGTAAATGTCTATAAAGTGTGTTACGTAAATAATCTGTTTAACTTAGTTTGAAATCGGGGGCTTTTCTATTTGTTTATTAGATATACAGTACAGATGTTTTAATTTTAAGAGCTATTTTTTATATTAAGTTTATGAGTTTCCTAATGAGGGCTTATGTGTTTCTTTGGGAGTCTTCTGGGAGGTGGCATTGTGTTATACCCAGCGACGCTCAGGGACCATTCCTGGTTCTGTGCTCAGAGTAGTGATATGTGGCAGTGCTAGGCTAAGTATTGTTGAGTACTTGAACTGGAGTCTGTGGAGTGCAAAACAGCCACCTGTACTATAGCACTGTGTACTAGCTCTCCAGCCTGGATATTCATTTCTACTTACTCTTTTTAATATTTTAAGGGATGTAGATCCACTGGGGTCAGGAAGGTAGCTCAGAGGTCCAGAGCCTCATGCTTTGCATGCAGAAGATTCTCTAGCTTCACATGGTTTCCCTTCCCCACTCCCAGCTCTCCCCATCTCTAGGAGCAACTCCCAAGCTGGAAGCAGCTCAGGGGAGCATCGCTGAATAAGACCTGAAAACTTGCAGGGTGGGGGGTGTGTGTGTGTGGGGGTAACCGAGGGTGGTGGGGAAAGGGCACATTTATGCTTTTCTTTTTTTCCTACACCTTAAAGTATGTTTTTAAAACATCTTTAAAAAAGAATTGCCTAGTGAAAGGGTGTAATAAACTTTTTTATTGTGAAGATATGCAAAATTGCTCTTCAACAAAAGTCACATCTCTACTAATGGTACGTAAAAGTGTCCCATTTTTTGCACCCTGCATAACTTGGTTATTGTTTATCTTTAACATCCTGATAAGTGAAAAATGATATCTTGAATTTAATTGGCCTGTCCTAGTTATGTGTAAGGTTAATCAAGTGCTTTTTGGATGTTTTCTTTTTATGAACTGCATATTAAGTTTGCCAAGCCATTATTTTTTGGATGATTCATCTTTCTATGTCAGTTTGTTAGAGAGTATTATATCGAAGAGAATTTTGCCCTCTATTATGCCTATATCTTGCTGATTCTTACCCAGGATTGTTCTTTAGATTTTTGACATTGTTCATTAGAATTTCATTACTGGTTTTTGTTAGTGTAATTTCAAGAGAAAAAAATATACAAGTATTGACTTTATTGTCCCTGATTCAAAGCATTTTCTTTAGTTTTTAAAATATTTTATAAACTGTTTAAATTATACACTTAACCTTAAAGACACTTTAATTACCAACCATAAAATATCTTTATTCTGAATTTTAAGAGATTACTAGATTTTAAAATATTGCTAGTATATTGAAAGGTCATTTATCTTTAAAAAAATCATGTATCTTATGTTTCATAAGAGGAATTTTTCTATTTTCAGTGTTCTACCCAAGAGTTCTTCTTGATTGTCAAATCCCTTCATTACATGAAATCAGAATTTCAAGCATTAATACCTGCTGTTAATTCCCATGTGCAGTCAGACTTGCTCAAGATGTGCCTTTTAGAAATCCCTGAAATCCTTAGTCCAGTGGAACATTACTTAAAGATACTGAATGAACAAGCTGCCAAGTAAGTAGCAGATCTTTAGTTATTCCTTTCAAACAGTGAAATAATAGAATGTGCCTATCATTTGATGTATAGATTCTTAAACTTCCCTAGGAAGTAACTGGTAAATGTTGCATGGGAAACAGAAATGTATTGGATACTAGAAGCTCTGTATTGCAGCAGGAAGTAACGCTTTGCTGCTTGAAATGTGGACATTTTATCATCTTGGTCAGATTTATTACTCTTCTAGATAACACATGATGACAAGATAAAGTACAGACAGAACAAGTACTAACAATTGATTAACCACAAAAAAGATGTCAGATAGCTTCTTATTCATTTGCTGGATATCCAAGGATGGTGTTAAAGTATTAAAGTGCGCAGAAGCAAAATTTTCCTTAATAGTTTCCTTATTAAGTTTATTATTAAGTTTTATTAAGTTTCCTTAATAGTTAATTATTTTACTATCATCACACAAGGAACTAAGACCGTGTTACATTTATTTTTACTAGTTGGGCAAATAGCAAAGAAATCTGTCAATTTTTATCATGAGAATTAATAAATGTGCTACATGGAAATTAAAAAACTTGTCCACAATTACTTAATGATAGCTGGAATTAAAACTGTTGTTTTCCTGATTTCCAACCCTTTGGTCTTTATTCATACTATGAAAGCTTAATATGTGTGTTTTCACTTTTTCATTTTGTAGAACTGGCAATAAAACTGAATTATTCAAAGACCTTTCTGATTTTCCTTTAATAAAAAAGAGGAAGGATGAAATTAAAGATGTTACTGACAAGATCCAATTGCATTTGCAAGAAATTCGGAAAATACTTAAAAATCCGTGTGCACAATATGTAACAGTATCAGGACAGGAGGTAATAATGAGTATACCATTTACTTTGCGTTAGTTTCAGTATAAAAACTACATTAAACTGTAAATTTTAAAAAACATCTGAGGATTGGGTAGAATTGGTTTGGGTTTTCTTTTTTTTTCCCCAGATATTCTATTTATTTCTTGGAAACACAATACCTTTTTTTTGGTAGGAATTGTTTTAGAAGTGTTTCGCTTATTGAAGTTAGTCTCTGTAAAATCATGTGTTCTGATTTTATGTGTGTTTTAATGTTACTGTTAAAATTACTTTATAGAAACCCTTAATTATTTTGAACAATAACTCACAGAATTAATTCCCCCTGAGAAAGAAGTAAGTCTTTGATCCCTGTCTTACAGGGTGTGAGCAGTTACAAAGATTATTACCCATGTTGTTTGGATCACAAAGTAAGGAAATGGCAGGGCTTCCTTCGGAATTGTTTAGGAGGATAGCTGCCAACCAAACAAAAAGCAAAAGAAAAAAAATCAAAATAAAAATGAAATTTTTTTAGTGAGTGTTCCATAAGATGATATGTGTGCATGTCTATTTGACATTTGATGTCAGTGTCTGAGTGAGAACAAAGAAGAAGTATGTTTGGAAATGTGCATCTTCCTCTCTAGCCCTCTGCTGAGTTCTAAAGCATGTTCCTTCTTACATCTTGTATTTATTAAAATATAAAGATTCCAACTGAAATACTATGAGGTACAACTCCTCTGTTATAATAGCAAATTAATCAATATGTGACTATTTTGTGTAGGATGTAACTTTTAATCAACATTTTAAAAGTAGATTTGGGGGGGGTTGGTCCTAAAGAGATAGTTCAAAGGGCTAAAGACTCTTGCCTTGCACATGACCAGCCTTGGTTCAGTTTTTTTTAATTTATTTATTGAATCACTGTGGGAAAGGTTACAAAGCTTTCAGGTTTATGTCTCAGTCATGCAAATATCAAACACATTTCCCTTTACCAATACTTATTTTTTACCCTGAAGAACCCCAATAAAACCCCACCCCCACCCCTCCCCGTCCCTGTGAGGCAGATGAATTCTAGTTAACACTCTATCTGCTTTGATTAGATTCATTGTTTCAATAAGATTCACCACTATTATTTAGAGTTTACCCCCCCCCCCCCCAAATCAGACATGCTGAAAAAGCATTGTGAAGTGATTTGCTTTCTACAGCTGGGTTCAAGAATTAAATGTTGGTTTTGGATTTCTGCTATTTTACCGATTGACCCTGGAAGTATTTCTACTGAAAGTCAGATAGTTAAGAAATTGGTTTCTGTGTTCTGGAGTCGTGGCCGTGCTGGAGAGCCGCTCGTGGGGGCAACTGGTGGCCTCGGTAGAGCGTGAAGGGCGGACCGAAACGCCCCCCTTCCCATGAGGTTTTAGTCGCCCCCACACTCCCGGCTCATACCTGCTGTCCACAAGGCTCCCATGTGGCCGCCATCTTTCTTTCCAGAGAGGAGAGGGCGAATGGGGCAACACCCTTTCCCCTCCGGCAGACTTGATGGCCTGGATCAATGCATAGTCCGTTCACTTTTCTGCTCCAAGCTGCTGGGTTCTGCATTAAGTCCTTGTGCTTCTGGGGCCGTTTTTGGCACCCCCTATGGTCCTCCAAGCCCATCAGGAGTGATTCCTGGGTGCAAAGTCTGAATAACCCCTGAGCATTGCCAAGCGCCCCTTCCTACCCCCCACAAGTAGGTATGATATTTTTCTAGTAGATACGAACTTTGATTTTTAAAATATTTACATTCACATATTTTTAGCAAAATATGTTATGTATATGATTTGAAATAATAAACTGTGGTAAATGATAATCATTATTTAAATATTTATTAATATTCTGCCTTTTAATAGACTATTAATCCAGCCTATTGTCTAGACTTATATTAAGCTGTTATTTCTCAATGCTTTTCACATAGAGCTCTTTATAACAGAATAATCATTTGCACAGTATTTTTATTTGACTTTCATCCATGGCAGACAAATAGCAGATATATAATTGTATCTCGTGTCTTCACTAAGCAAGCATGACTTTGCAAAAGAACTAACCTTACTATCTTTATTTTGGCAATTTGTTGAATAATAATAAAATATGCTTACTAGCAATAATAAAAGTATACATATTAGAAAAGGAGCTGACTAGTATTACAATGTGAAAAGCAGACATTTAAATAAGGCAGAATTAGATCCCAGCAGAAGATGAGAGAATCCTAGAATAAATCAAAACAGATCTCTTGCATCAACACCAAAGACACAAAGTCAGGAGCTACAGAGCAGAGAAAGTGGCTGTGAGAATGTTCATTAATGAAATATACATTAATATTTTATTTTAGTTCCATCTTTTTTTCTTTAGCAATTTACGCCCTTAAGGAAAAGACCTCACTGCTCATTCTTGGAATATTTGTAAAATGACTTATGAAAATTTTCTTATTACAAAACCAGTGATAAAAAAGAAAAAACTCTGCTAGTTGATAACAATTTCGAGTACACAGACTGAGGGCCAACAAAAGATAAAAGGTGACATGCATCTGTCTGATGTGACCCCAGGGGGTTAGCAACAGGTCCATGTGAGTGTTCCTAACTATTTCCATACTGGATTTGGCTCTTGCATAGTTCTCTGTATTCCAGAAGTGTAGGTATTTGCAGATTGAGTATCTGTGATCCAGATACTCCCAAGGTGCCCCAAAGGCCCATGACTACTAGTATTTTATAATATGTCTGAGGTTCTAATTTGATTTTGGTTCCACCGGCCTGCGGTGTTACAGCAAATTACTTAAGTAAATCAGTGTCTCTGGCTGACCAGTGACCCCACAGTGGTCGTTGTGGCTTCTTTCAGAAATGCCAATACCCCATTAAGCAATAACTCCTAGGGAGTTGTGTCAGTCATTGTGAATTTGGGTTAGTCTTTATGAATCTGGACTGTGTCCTTCCCAAATGTTAATCAGAGTGGGTCTGAAATTTTTTGTTCACAAAGCTCTTCCAACAACTGATTCAGAAGAAGGCCAATATGTCATCTCACAGAACATTTTAATTTTTGTTTTTGGTTTGGGGATCACACACGGTGGTGCTCAGGGCTCACTCCTGGCTTTGTGCTTAGGAATCACTTCTGGCTCAGGGGGCCATATGTGATGCTGGCGGTCTAACTGTGGTGAGCCTCAGGCAAGATGTGCACCTTAACTCTATATCTCTCCAGCCCTCACAGAATATTTAAAAGTAATGTTTAAGGCAACTTTTAAAAAAAATTTTTTTTATTAGTGAAACACCATGAGGTACAGTTATAGACTTATAAATTTTTGTGCTTGGGTTTCAGTTATACAATGATCAAGTACCCATCCCTCCACCAGTGCCCATCCTCCACCACCACGGGTCCCAGCATCCCCCCCCACCCCCCCCGTCCCACCCTGCCTCTGTGGCAGGGCATTCCTCCTTGTTCTCTCTCTCTTCTTTTGGGTACTAAGGCAACATTTTTTTAAAGTTTTAAATTGTTTTTTATTTTTTCCATCAATCATCGTCATTTTGTGGTTTTTCTCTAGAGCTATGGTTGGTAGCCAAAGAGGGATGTTTTATACCCTTCTCTTAATTTTTTTAACTAGGTGTGGGAGATTTAGCATTGCATTAACTCTTTATTATACAAGGGGATATTATTAGCTCTAAAAATTTTAGGATGAAATTTCTTTAGCAGTCAAGCTAATGCTATTAATAGTGGGTATTTTAGTCTTTAGTGAGAAACCAAAGATACTTTATTGTTGCTGTACTAACCTTTTGTTGCTAAGGATGTTAAATATTTCAAATGTTAAGGAGTTTAGTAAAACTAAAATTTCCTATAGTTATCTTAAAATTAGTAGTAGCCACAGTGCTTATGGGTCTCGTTCTGTACAAATTTAGTGAACTTGTTTATTTAAATTAAACATTGAACTTTATTGCAAGAGTATAGAAAAATGGACAGAAAGAAAAGATTATTTATTATGACTAGTGCTGAAAGAGAGAGGTGTGGTAGAAGTTGATCTTTACTTGCTTCCCAGTAATTTCAGATAAGCTTGCTGGCTGATAGCACAGTTGGCGCTGTAGAGGTACAGTCGGGGCAAATGAAAACAAAAGAAAACACTTGTGGGCAGAAGTGCCTTTAATTGTTAATGTTATCCATGATTTCTTTCTGAGTATAATTTTAGAGACCTTAGATTCTTTGCATGAGAATTATAGTAACACCTTGATAGATAAGCAGTTTGGCAGGATGAGCACAGTCTTTGTCTGAAGAAGGCCTGAGTTCTGTCCCCAGCACAGCGTGGTCCCCAAGCACTGCCAGCAGCAATCATTGAGCAGAAGCTCAGAGTAGCCTCTGAGTAACACCAGGTATGGCCCCCAGATCATACACGCAGAGTAATAAATCTTCCTGTTCAAAGGTGTGTCAGATCTTATCTGTAACTGGCATTAATCTAATAATCTAATATTCTAAAATCACAAATATTTGGCAGTTATTACTGGGTAATAGAATTATTAAGACTAAGTGGGTCCTAACAAATGAAAGATATAATTAATGAAAAACCACTGCTATTGCTGTGTACATTGCAGTTATTTAAGCATTAAAATGCCAAGTTGTATCCTTTATTGGAAACGTATTGTTCAATACAAATTGTACTTTATCCCAATTATTGAAACCCTGCTTAATACTCAATAGTTGCATAGATGTACATAAACTCTAAGATCAATACCAGATTTACTTTTGAATATCTAGAATAATATTTAGTGAGCAATTTGACACAGTTCTGCAGCATTAAAAATACTAGACATAAATATAAATTTACTGCATAAAATCACTTAAAATCTAACTTTTATTTGTTTTTATTTTAGTTTATGATTGAAATAAAGAATTCTGCTTTGTCTTGTATACCATCTGATTGGGTTAAGGTTGGAAGGTAGGTATAAAAATTGATTATTTTCCTTGTTGTCATGAGCGGGTAGGGTGTTCGCCCCTTACAAGCGGCCAACATGACCGACCCGAGTTCGATTCCTTCGCCCCTCTCGGAGAGTCAGGCAAGCTACCGAGAGTATTGGATATGCCAGACACAGTAACAACAAAGTCTCCAATGGAGACGTTACTGGGCCTGCTCGAGCAAATCGACGATCAACGGGAGGGCCTTTACCTTTACCATGAATTCTAATGCTGCTTAATATATTTGTGTGTTACTGAACTGAAAATTGACACATGTTTATATTAGAATCATGTCTTCCCTTTCAGTTTTCTTACACATCTGAACCCATGAACTGATAAGCATTTAAAATTCATTCTTATCATTGATTTTAAGACTTTTTTTCCAAAGAATGTCCTATTTGTACTTATTTATTTTCTTGCTTACTTATTTTCTTTCTTCTTATAAATTAATATCTTACTTTTATACCTTAGAATGTATTTTCAAAACTTGGAAAAAATAAAGTTGAGAATCCTTCAATAACTAGATTTATTTGGTTGCTTGTACAATTTGATGAAAGTTATAGCTGACATTTCTTTCAAGAAGCTGAAGTTTGATTTTCTGCCTCACTGAGTTCCACATATTTTTACTTACTATTCCTATGGCACACAGTTACAATAATTATTTACATTTCTTTTTTAAAATTCAAGTAGACTTGGTACAAATAAATTAATTAAGAACAAAATGAAGTGCGAGAGATATAGTACAGCCTTAAGAATTTGCCTTGAGTGCAGCTGACCTAGGTTCAATCCCTGGTACCACATGTATTCCCTTAAGCCACACCAGGAGTGATCTTTGAGTGCAGAACCAGGAGCATATCCTGAGCACAACTTATGTGTCCCCCAAATAAAACAAAAACAAAATTAGACAACAGTTTTGAGATTTGAGACTATGCCTTTTTTCCTTGGATAAACATTGATCCTACTATGAGGGGACTCATTTAAAATGTGCAATTAGAAAGGCCAGGTATATACTCATTCTTATTCTTCACGTGTGTCATGCCCTGGGCTTGAACCCTGGAGGTAAAAGGAAACAAAAAGAAGGGGTGTTGGAGAAGTGCATATATACTTCCAATTAGCAATTTTGTGGACTGTTTGTTGCTGCTATTAATATTTGTACAAAAGAGATAAAAATATTATATTTTCCTAAATTCTAGAAGAGAGACTAGTAGCTTGTGATGGTATAAAGGCGTTGCATTAAGAATGGAAGAAGGGGCTGGAGCGATAGCACAGTGGGTAGGGCGTTTGCCTTGCACGCAGCCAACATGGCCGACCCAGGTTCGATTCCCAGCATCCCATATGGTCCCCCGAGCACTGCCAGGAGTAATTCCTGAGTGCATGAGCCAGGAGTAACCCCTGAGCATTGCCAGGTGTGACCCAAAAAGCAAAAAAAAAAAAAAAAAGAATGGAAGGAAATTTGGACATGGCATATGAGTGATCGTAAACTTATTAATTGAAATATGAAACTACTTGTTGTCCATTGCCATTGACAATTACAATCATGGGTTTCTTTAGCTGTAAGGCATTTTTTTCCTTTGCTGCCAAAAGCTGTCATTTTGTTATTAAATTGCTAATCTTAGGGAATATTTTATCTTTTTGCAAGTATTCAGTCTTTCCTTTATCTACTTTTTTCCTATGCTACAGCGAATGGATAGATATATGCTTATGAGGAGAAATTACTAAAAGTCATATTAGTCTTTCTAGAACTGTAAGGGAGTGTTTTACTGACTAGGCTGTCAGAAGAGAAAGCTCTGTTTGCGTAGAAATCTAGATGACTATATATATATATTTTTTTTTTTTTTTTTGGCTTTTTGGGTCACACCCAGCAATGCTCAGGGGTTACTCCTGGCTCTGCACTCAGGAATCACTTCTGGTGGTGCTCGGGAGACCAGACGGGATGCTAAGGATCAAAGCTGGATCAGCCATGTGCAAGCCAAACGCCCTTCCTTCTTTACTATCACTCGGCATAGATGACAATTTAAAAGTAACAAATGAGGCATAAATTGGTGTTGGCATCTTTTAAACATTCATTGATATAATCTCAATGAACTAAATAAAATGGTTTAGTAAGATTCACTGTAGTTTTGTATTTTTCATGTGGCCTTCAGAACCAAGTAACCAGAAGAGTAAAAAATTAATCTGATTACAAATGTGGAAGGCCTACTCAGAGCCTAATAACTTGGCAAATTAAAAGATAATCATGACAGATGACATGTCTTGTGACCTGCCATCACTCAACTCTGACATATTCCTCTTCAAAAGCCTAATAATAACGAAAACAGGGGTAACATCGACCACCACCATCAGGAAACTCTTTTAACACTGAACACTTAGTGACAGGGGCACTCCGCCAGGCATTATCTGAAACCAGTCTATTGGATCTTCTCAACAAAGCACAAGAAGTACATAGTATTGCTATTATTATTATTATTAGTAGTAGTAGTAGTAGTAGTAGTATTATGGTTCGGGGCTACACCCAGTGGTACTTGGGGCTTACTCCTCGCTCTGCCCTACGGAATTACTCCTAGCAGACTCAGGAGAACATATAGGATACCAATGATTCAACCTGTGTCCACTGAATATAAGGCAAGTGCCCTACCTACTGTACTTTCTTTCCAACCCCTATAAAGGTAAAGGTAAAGGCCCTCCCGTTGATCGTCGATTTGCTCGAGCGGGCCCAGTAACATCTCCATTGGAGACTTTGTTGTTACTGTGTCTGGCATATCGAATACTCTTGGTAGCTTGCCGGGCTCTCCAAGAGGGGCGGAGGAATCGAACTCGGGTCGGCCATGTTGGCCGCTTGTAAGGCGAACGCCCTACCCGCTGTGCTATCGCTCCAACCCCTATAGAAGACAGTATTCTTATGCCCATTTTCTGAGGAGAGGGATATTTAGAGAAAACTACAAAGCTCGAGGTTTACCCAAAGTCACATAGCTGGCCTGTAGATGGCCGAATTGCCCTCCGCCAGGACTCTCTGACTAGGGCATCCCACATTATACTCTGCACCTTCCTCATGAAGATTGTGCACAGATTCAGAAGAGCGGTTGGTATTTCTGCCCATCAGGAGTCATTGTGAGCATGCAGTTAATCTGAAAAACTCTTCTTCTATTGCCTCTTGAATTAATGGATTGCTGTTCTTTGTAATGCTTTATATTTTTCTTTTTTCACTAAAATACTTCATACAGAATAGTCTAAAAAATAAGTAATAGTTATATGACTTTCACCAATATATCTACTTTCAGTTTTGTTAGGATTTACCTTGTATATTTACTTCTGTAAGAACTTTTGTTTAGTACCATTTAAAGAGAAAAATATCTTTCTACTTACGAATTGCATTTCTAAACATTGAACTTGCCATAGGGATATAATTTGAAATGCACTTTAAAATCTTCTTGAAAAAGTCTTATGACTCTTATTTACAACAGATACTCTATGAACAGAGTTAAAAGAGTTCAGGACCATAATTAAAGAATGTTCTGTATTTACAGCTATTTATTTTCAAGGTTCATCAGAGAAAAAAATAACTCCTTTAATTTTTTGAAGTGACGGTAGTACTGATTCCTAACTAACCTTGATTTCCTATTTCTGTTTTTCCCCCTCTTCTAGCACAAAAGCTGTGAGTCGCTTTCACTCTCCTTTTATTGTAGAAAATTACAGACATCTGAATCAGCTCCGGGAGCAGCTAGTCCTTGACTGCAATGCTGAATGGCTTGATTTTCTAGAGTGAGTTTGCAATGAAAAGTATAATATGACTTTTTGCTATGAGAAATGACCAAAATTTCTTTCCGTCAAAAAAAAGAAAATTAGAAATAACTGCTTGTGACCCGCCATAAAATAGTTGAGTACATGTGTTCTCTGGTCTTATTTTTAATTCACTGAGATGTCAGCTCATTTCAGTCTTCCATGAGAAACCAAATATGCTTTATTGTTACTGGGCTAAGGATATGGAGTTAATTTTTTGAAATCTCACCTAGAACTTTGCTTACATTTCTTGTGAAAAGGCTTAATGTTTTCAGACAAGTGGAAGTTAGTTTTCTGTTTTCCTTTTATCCACTTATATTTTCCTGTAACTCTTTTTTGTCCACCTTACCTGGGACTCCAGACTGTTAGCCAGTTAGGGTCACCTAAGCATATGCAGGCCCCAGAAACCAAGCACATGGCCTCACACTTGCCCTAGGTATTTTCTGAGTCAGAGCTTCTTAAACTTTTCTCATTAAGTGACCCTAAGTATTCAGATAAAACATTGATAATAAATGGGAAAGACTTCTTTATTTTGGAGGGTGGGGGAGAGGGAGGAGCACACTGGAATACTCAAGGGTTACTTCTGGCTCTGCACTCAAGAATCACTCCTAGTGGTGCACAGGGGACCATGTGAGATGCTGGGTATCAAACCTAGGTAGGTTGCGTACAAGTCAAACGCTCTACCCACTATACTGTCTCTCCAGCACTGGTCATGAAGACGTTAAATGACCTTTGCCTCCTACTGTCAATTCTGTGACCCTAGTGGCATTCCTCTCCATGGGTTTTGGATGCTAGATTCTAAGCCATTCAGCCATTCTGGGCCCATTCTCACAGTGCTGTCCAGATCACGTAGCTGTGAAAGGCAGCACCCTTAACCCTTGTGCTCCAGGCACTTGAAGCCAGGTAGCCATCTCATGGGCCCTTAAATTTTTTTCTTAATATTTTACATTCTGTAAGCATTTAAACCTGTGTATTATAAAACCCTTGTCTAAATTTTTCAGATGCTTTAACATTTTTCCATATTTGTTTTATATCTCTTACCTCCTTGCCCCCAAATGTTTCACTCTAAAACATATATCTAAAAATAAGGACATTCTGCTGTACTTTCTTAAGACCATTGTCACACCTAAAAAAAACGAATACTGATTTAAAATATATACCAAATATTCTTAGTCCTTCTCCCCTAAAATTTTTTAGTAGCCTAATTGAGTTTGACACATTGCATTCAGTTGTTATGTTTCCTTTAGTTTCATTAAATTTAGAATATTCCCCCCTCCTTATGTTTTGTTTTTTTATCCTTACGGTTTTAGTGAGTTCTTGCTATTGTTTTAAAGAATGTCTCACATTCTGGGTTTATTAATAGTCATGTGTTCACAATTGACAAGTAAAATCAGTAGTGTGTTGGGAAATGATAAACAGCCAGCTATCCGGAAGGTGTTTTCTGATTTTCATTTGTAAAATATATTCATGAAATATTGCTAAGTGAAGAAAATAAGACCAATTTTAAATTAGGTTACAGTGCTGTATGTGTAAACTCACATGCATGCACAATATATAAATGTTTATTTTTTAATATTATATATCTTATTAATATGCTTATTGGCTTTTTACGTCTTTTTGGATACATGTCTCCACACAATGAGATCTATTGTCTGTATGATATATGATACTCTCTATGGGTCTCAAATATTTTTAAATAGTGAGGTTGCTAGACATTTTTATTTTCTTTACAAAAATGTGATTTTAAATGTTTCCATATTACTTTCAAAATAAGAAAGGTATATTGAAGGTTTTATGTAGAAAAAGGAATGCTGGTTGAAATTTAACTAGAGCATTTGTAGCTAGATCTGCCACTTGAGAACAGCACTGATTGTCATTCACACTATTTATTTAGGTGCCAGATGGTGTGAATATGATGTCATTTAAAAATGATTAACCTCTGTGAACCATACAATTGAATACCCGCTATACAAGTATATTTATCTCTTATGAGATTCTGATGGGCTATGCATTCATTAGTCATATTGCTCGTGACAAAATTTTGCAAGACATCAAGGCTATAAGAAGCTCTGTGAATGGAACCTTTGCTCCAAAAAAAAAAAAATGTATCTTACCGTGCTCTCGAAGATGAACTGTAGACATTAGTAGTCTTACTTGAAAATGCTTTAGGCATTGAATTATATCTCATACAGTTAAATATTTTAAGAATGCATTTCAAATAAAATACATTTTGTTTTTATTAATTTCAAATATCATTGAACAGCATATGATAAAACTCTGGCTGCTCCATTATCGTTAGTAATCATATCAATCTGTTTCATTTGTACCCAGCAGTACCTTTTGGGCAGAGATTAAGTCATAATACTTTGGCTTCATCCATAAGACCTTTGGTAGCTTAGTGATAAAATTGCATCTTGTTACAATATAAACACAGTCTATCAGTTTGTTGTCTGAATTGTCTACTTTCTAGCTTGTCACTTTTCTAAATATGACTGATCTCTTTGAAATTTGGCAGAGTATAGCAAATACACAGACTAAAAATTAAAATAAGACATTTAGAGTTAAGAAGATTTTTAAGATTTATTATTTTTAATTTGTTCACGTCTTGTTTAAATCATTGACAGGAGGAAAAACAATATTTTCATATCAAAATGATTACTTTATTCCTGCCTTTTTTTTTTTTAATGAAGAGATACCCACTGACAGCTACATCACACATTTCAGTCTCAGAACAATTACCCTGAACAAATTACAATCTTGGTGGTGTGACTGGGACTTGAAAAGAAGGAATAGGACTAAGAGAAAAATTGTTTGTTTTTAGTGCTAAAGATGCTTTAACGTGAACATCTGGGAAGGCAGTAGCAGAAACATCAGTGCAGCTATTCTCTTATAAAAGAGAGAATTCAGGGAAGGGAGGACCAGCTGGGTCATTCATTGTAACAGAAGCAGCGTCGGCCACATCCAAGGAGTAATGAGTGCTTAAATCTTAAATTGACATCAGACCAGGAATGACATAGCATGATCATCATGAAGCAGTCATTTAGAAGTGTTAGGTCCATGTAACATGTGCACCTTCAGGACTAAGGGGCATTTTTTCAGATGGCAGCAGAGTGCTGCCTAGCCAGTGTCGGGGCCAGTAGTATGCTTATGTTTGGGATATTGCAGACTCTTAATCCTATGAATTCTTTTTTTTTTCTCTTTTTTGGGTTACAATGGGAGATGCACAGGGGTTACTCCTGGCTTTTGCACACAGACATTACTTCTGGTGGTGCTCAGGGGACCATATGGGATGCTGGGAATTGAACCTGGGTCGGCCACATGCAAGGCAAATGCCCTACCCACTGTACTATCGCTCCAGCCCTCTCCATCCTAGATTCTTAATGGGATTAGTGTTGGGTGTTTTTACCAATCCTGGGAATATATCCCAGAGAGGCAAAAAAATATAGTCGAAGTGACATCTGCAATTGTTTGTTCATTGCAGTACTCTTTACAGTAGCCAGAATCTGGAAAAAACCTGAGTGCCCGAGAACAGATGACTGGTTAAAGAAACTTTGGTACATTTACACAATGGAGTACTATGTAGCTGTTAGAAAAGAAGAAGTCATGAAATTTACATACAAGTGGTACTACATGGAAAGTATCATGTTAAGCGAAATGAGTCAGAAAGAGCGGGATAGACACAGAAAGACTGCATTCATCTGGGGAACATAAAGTAACAAAATGGGAGAACAACACCCAGGAGTGGCTGAGATTAGTACCAGGAATTGGAGGGCTTGGAGGGCAGCCACACATGCTAGGGGAAAAGGAAGCTCAGATAGAGAAGAGAGCACCAAATAAAGGGTGTTGAGAGGATCCTCCCAGGGTGGGAGAAGCATGCTGAAAGTAGACTATAGACTAAACATGATTGCCACTCAATGCCTCTCTTGCAAAACACAGGACCCAAAAGAAGAGAGAGAGAACAAGGGGGAATGCCCTGCCACAGAGGCAGGGTGAAATGGGGGTACGGAGGGTGGGAGGGATGCTGGGACCCATGGTGGTGGAGGATGGGCACTGGTGGAGGGATGAGTACTTGATCATTGTATAACTGAAACCCAAGAACAAAAATTTGTAAGTCTAACTGTACCTCATGGTGTTTCACTAATAATAAAAAAAAAACTTCAATTCAGTGGGAAATAGATAAATTATATTCATTAGGCTCTATGTACTCAAAGGAATATAAAATATATTATCAATCTTATTTTTGTTCTCAAAAGACCAACACAGAAATGATGCTTTCAATGTTCCTGGTATCTGAACATCATTTCCTTAAGACTACTTAAATAATCACAATCACGATCATGACCATCCTGTTATTCGTCGATTGCCTCGAGCAGGCCCCAGTAACGTCTCTTTCGTCCTAGCCCTGAGATTTTTTTAAAAAGTGCCATATTCAAGGCTCTTTCAGGTTTAGGAGAGTGAGACCCATCATTGTTACTGGTATTTGGCATATTGGGTACGCCACAGGGAGTTTGCCAGACTTTGCCGTGTGGGCAGGTTACATTCGGTAGCCTGCCAGTTTGTCCAAAGTAGGAATGAGATGATAAGATGTTGCGCGGACGCATTCACGGCATTTGTGGCCATGCGATTCCGGGAGCTGGGTTTTATAGTCTCTGAGTCTTGGCCGTTGATGGGATTACATGGCGGGGGGGGGGGGGGGGGGGGGGGGGGGCAGTTGGTGGGTGTGACCCCTGCCTACTAGAATTTGGAGGATCTGGTTGGAGCCTAATACTAAAAAAAAAAAAAGAATTTTCAGTTTCAAAAAATCTATTTTTTTGTTTTTATTTATTTTTGTTTTTATTTTTTATTCGGACTGGAGCGATAGCACAGCGGGTAGGGCGTTCGCCTTACAAGCGGCCAACATGGCCGACCCGAGTTCGATTCCTCCGCCCCTCTCGGAGAGCCCGGCAAGCTACCGAGAGTATTCGATATGCCAGACACAGTAACAACAAAGTCTCCAATGGAGACGTTACTGGGCCCGCTCGAGCAAATCGACGATCAACGGGAGGGCCTTTATTTATTTATTTATAAATAGGTGATGTACTGCTTTAGACAAGGAGAGATATTTGTTTAATTGCAAACTTAATTTGTTTGCATTATTTTAAGATTGTTGGGTACTTTTTGTTTGCTTGGGGTTTTTTTGTTTTTTTTTTTTCTTTTTGGGTCACACCCAGCGATGCACAGGGGCTACTCCTGGCTCTGCACTCAGGAGTTACCCTTGGCGGTGCTCAGGGGACCATATGGGATGCTGGGAATTGAACCCGGGTCGGCCGAGTGCAAGGCAAACGCCCTACCCGCTGTGCTAATTGCTCCAGCCCGTTTGCTTGTTTTTAACTAAAATATTGCCATGTCTACTCGATGCCAAGGTGACAGACTGGGAAGTGGGCTGATAAGTAGATCAGATGAAGACATTATCAGGAAGGAGCTTTCAATTCAGTGTGTGAAAAAAATACAAACATTTGCCTTAGGTTGGCTATGCTGTAAAAGGAGAAGTAGGAAGGGAAGTTGACCCATTTGGGTAGTTCATAATGTAATTTAAGCTGAATGAAATGTTTGTGTTAATTATGTATAAGTTGAAATGTCATGATCAGATGAAATGTGCAACATGGTATTAAGAGTAGTTATCTTTGCAGAGAAGCTGTTTTAAAATGCATGTGATTCTATTCCAGTGAAACCGACAGAAATCTCAGTAATCACATTACAGGATTAAATGGAAAGTAGAGCTCAGTGAAGTGTCTTTAGCTTCTGGGTTTGACTGGTTCTTTTTGAGTATGCTCATTGTAGCTAATAAGTAATCACAGTAAGTGATTACATACTGTAGAGTTTGAATAAATCTGAGAATTCAGTTTGCTGACCCTTTTGTTGCTGTTTCTATAGGGATTTTGGTGAACATTATCTCTCCTTGTGTAAAGCAGTACATCACCTAGCAACTGTTGACTGTATCTTCTCCCTGGCCAAGGTCGCTAAGCTGGGAAATTATTGCCGGTAATGTACTTATTTATTGCCACTTTCAATGCTCTAGAGAAATCTGTATTAATTAATTGTGTTTTTGTCAATCATGTTTGACTCCTGGGAAAGATAAATGTCATACCAGAGAACTTGATTTAGTATGAACAGATTTGGGGTTGATAGCTGTAGAGGCTGAGCACGTGGTTTGCATGCAGGAGACCTCAACAGAACACGGACCTCTGAGCACCACTCAGAGTAGTGCCCAAGCTCAGATCTGGGAGCAGCCCCTGAGGATTACTGGGTGTGGCCCCCAAACAAAATCTAAAAAAAGTACAATTTGCAATTTTTTTCCTTATTTCCCCTATCAGTAAATACAGTGAAAAGCAAATGTTCACTGTAACTCTAAGCATTATCGTTTAGCTTTTTAAATTATTATTTTTTATTCTTTTCTGTGATGACAGCAATTGAATCTTGGAGACCCCATACGTGCAAGGCAAGTTCTGTACTACTGAGCCATGTCACCAGCCCACATCTTTCAGCTGTTATGTGGGAGACATTTTTATAATGAAATTATTCTTTCATAACTGACTCGTATACTTTTTCATAATTAAAATAGTTTGATTAGGCAACAAAAGATAGGGAAGTCATATCATTTTTGTGGGTATGTTTTTTCTGTACCTCTTCTAGAGAGCTCATATTATTCCATTATTCTCTTTTGGGCATTTGGTTTTACTTCACAATTCTCCTTTTTTTTTTTTTTTTTTTTTTTTTGCTTTTTGGGTCACACCAAGCGATGCTCAGGGGTTATTCCTGGCTCTGCACTCAGGAATCACTCCTGGCGGTGCTCAGGGGACCATATGGGATGCCAGGGATCGGACCCAGGTTGGCCGCATGCAAGGCAAACGCCCTATGTGCTGTGCTATCGCTCCAGCCCCTCTTTTTTTTTTAAATTTTTTTTTATAATTTTATTGAACCACCATGAGATAGTTACAAGCTTTCATGCTTGGGTTCAGCCAAGTTTTCAAGAAGGGATACAAGACATAACTAGAGGTGACACCATAGGTTGATACAGCCTGCTTAAGCAAGGAGAGAAATTCCAGATCTATTGTCTCATAATCCCCCTTTGGTAGGTCTCCTTCAGACCTCGAGTTTGGGTGCCAGGTGTCATGCCGGTTGTCGATCAGTCACTCAAGAGCCAGGTGAGATGGGTGATGAGACAAGGAGGATGTCGGCACTCTCTGTAGCCCACAATTCTCTTTTAATCATCTTGTGCGTGTTTATTCTTCTAAGTGGTGTTCACATCAAACAGACCTAATTTTATTTTTGATTATTATCTATCAGGAGTAACAATGCGCTGTAATTTTTATTTCCATTTCAGCTGTGTATCATTAAAAGTTAACCTGTGATTATATTACATTACATTCACCCCTAAAAGCTCATTATATCCTTCATCAGACAGTTTCCCTCATTTGCTCAATTTACCCACCTCCAAGCCTGTTTTTCTGGTAACCATTTAGTCCTGTAGTCTAAAAGTTTTTATTTGGTTGATCCATTTCTTTATTTTCTCCTTATACCACTTACAGGGAAGATCATACGGTGTTTATGTTTGCTTGATTTATTTTAATAACCATTATACCCTCTAGGTCCATCCATATTGGTACAGTGACAGGGTTTCATCATCTCCTATGGCTGAGTATCATTGCACTATGTTAGGTGCCACATCTTGATTAAATTATCTGCCAGTGGGTACTTCCAGGGTTCCTAATAAACAACGAGAATATTTTTCCCATTAAAGACTGCAATAGGGGACTGGAGCAATAGCACAGCAGGTAGGGCATTTGCCTTGCACGCGGCCAACCCGGGTTCGATTCCCAGCATCCCATATGGTCCCCTAAGCACCGTCAGGGGTAATTCCTGAGCACAGAGCTGGGAGTAACCCCTGTGCATCGCCGGGTGTGACTCCCCCCCCCAAAAAAAAAAAAGAGACTGCAATAAACACAGGAGTGTGTATATTTGAGTATTTGTGTATTTTGGACATCAGTACTCAGCTGTGGAATAATTGGATCACATGGAATTTCTAGTTATTATTATTTGGAGGAATCTCCATAGTGCTATTTATAATGGCTACATCAGTTTATATTCCCACTAATAGTGTAGAATTTTTTTTTACATCCTCTCAAACACAGTGTTTTTACTTTAGAATAATTGCCATTCTCACAAGTGTAAGGTGATATGTTGCTGTTATGTTGATTTTATTTCTTGTGTTTCTGTATTGGTCTTTTGGACAACACCCAGCTATGCTCAGGACTTACTCCTGGCTCTGTGCTTATGGATCACTCCTGGCAGTGCTCAGGGAATCCTAATGGTGCCAGGGATTGAACCAGGATCAACCACATGATTGTTGATCATGTGCGACCCACTTTACTGTCTCTTTGGTCTTTGATTATATTTCTTTAGTATTCATTTGACATCTCTCAGAACATATATCAAAAGAGTGCTTGATTTATATAAGTAGCACTGCATTGCACTGTCCTCCCGTTGTTCATCGATTTGCTTGAGCAGGCCCAGTAACGTCTCCATTGTGAGACTTGTTGTTACTGCGTTTGGCATATCGAATACGTCACGGGGAGCTTGCCAGGCTTTGCCGTGCAGGCGAAATACTCTCAGTAGCTTGCTGGGCTCTCCAAGAGGGACAGAGGAATCGAACCTGGCTTGGCCGGGCAGGCCAATCCAGGCCTGCATGCATGCATCTCCCCTGCAATGCATGCATCTCCCCTGCAAGGCAAACGCCCTACTGCTGTGCTATTTGAATTTCTGTTTCAAGTACATTCTTTGTAGTACAGATTCCATATCAAGAAGGCCTGGTTTGAATATTAAATTGTTTAACACTGACCTTAGCTATGTTTCTTAATATCTTTGATCCTTGATCTTTTTTTTTTTTAGTGTTTTTTCTTTTTTAATTTTTTTATTAGTGAAGCACCATGAGGTACAGTTGTAGATTTACAAATCTTTGTGCTTGGGTTTTGGTCATACAGTGATCAAATACCCATCCCTCCACCAGTGCCCATTTTCCACCACCATGGATAATATCCCCCCCATCCCCCCATCCCCCCCCCCCCCACCCTGCCTCTGTGCCAGGGCTTTCCCTTTTGTTCTCTCTCTCCTTTTGGGTGTTGTGGTCTGCAAAAGAGGTATTGAGTGGCAAACTTGTTCAGTTCATAGTCTATTTTCAACATGCATCTCCCCTCCTGGGAGGATCCTCCAAACACCCTTTATTTGGTGCTCCCTGAACTGCCCTTTTGATCCTTGATCTTACACTCAGAAACTATACCTCTTTTCAGAGATGTGCAAATTAAATGAAAGAAATGTAAAGGAAACTTTCAAATAAATCCCAGCAGCTGATAATCACTTAGTAATAGTAGCAGTTATTGGTCAGTGTTTTATTAAAGATAAGCAAGAATTGAAGTAGCATTAAAAGCGTTTGATTTTCATGAAATGTTTAAATGTAAGAATTGTTAGTATCTTTCTATCATAATAATTATTTTGTATCATCCGTAATTATTTGCCAGTTTTGTCTCTGATTACCATAGCCAGTTCTCATCAAGTCTGCATATCATAATTCAAATATCTGAAATGCTTGTGGTCTGTTTCTGCTGTCTGCTATTGCTTTGCTTTCATTCACATGTCTCCATGAATTCCAAGTGGTTGTGATCATCTTACGGACATTGTACTTGAGATTTCTCAAGTACAGTTATTTGTAGAAATAATTTGTTATTGTGTTTATGGGAAAGTGTTACATTTGCATCTGCAGGGCATCTCAAGACAGTGAAAATAAACCTGGGCCCTTGGATGCAGTTCAGTAGGAGTGTTGTGTAGCTCATAGGTGTGAGGCCCTGGATTTGATCCCCAGCACCACAACAAAACAAACAACTAGGTGGTGACTGGAACTCATGCTGTGGGAATCCGGAATTCAGTCTCCGGGCACCACATGGCCCCTGATTTGAGTAGTTGTGACCATAATGACCCCCCAGCACCACAGGGGCCTGAACAGTAGCACTGGACACAAGACCGTCAGGCCCTGGGGTGGCCCAGGATCATAATGTGTGGTCTCTGCACCTCCACACACTCTGTGGAGGACCCCCTCTAGTCTAAACAAAAGACATTTTTGTGATGGGCCCGTTCACATTGTACCGCTAAAACATACATTGACATGTCTATATACTGATGTTACATAAGTCTAAAAAAAAAAAGTGTGGCACCACTTAATTGATGTGACAGTTAAGGATGATTCAGTGATTCAAAGGCTGCAGTTTTTCAGATGCACTTTTACTCCTAGAGTCCAGCAAGCACTGGTCACTAGTGCCTGAAACCGTGGCAGAGTTCAGCTGCAGTCTTTCCTGTGGCAGACACCAAGCCTCTGTCCCGTGCTGCGGGCCCAACTGAATCTTTCTTGCTATCTTGTTATCTACCTGAGTGAGGCCACAGGTGGCTTGGTGTTCAATCCCTGACATTATCGGGGGGAAAAAAACAAAAACATAAAAAAAAACACACAAAGAAACCACTGAAAAAAATTTAAATGCCAAATCACATAAGAGTCTTTACATAATGTAGTTATTCTATTTTTCTCTTTCTAACAGAAGCAAAATTGAATGGAAGTAACCCTGAAATGATAAATATTTTTAATCTTTAATGCACTTTTAAGTATTTAAGTGTCTGAAATTTATGCTTTTGTTCCCTTAGATTTCCAAGTTGCTTAAAGATTTTAGTGTGTTTGAGCAGTTACTTCAGATTTATTATTTGGTTTCATTATTGCATCATTTTCTGTCAAAATAGTAGACATTTAGGCTAAAAAAAAGTTCTTGTTCTGACCTTTCTATCCAACCTGTGTGCTGAATATTAAACTGTTTTATAAATACAAATTATGTGTTTTTCCTCTGAGGCATTTGAAGGAGAAAGATGTAATTTTTAAAATATAAAATTAAAAATAACTGTTGAAATTCAGTTTCCTTCCCTTTTTGTGTGTTGCTGTTGTTTGGGGGCTTCCTAAGTTGTGTTCAGGGTCCCTGAAGGACACCCTCAGCTCTACTTTGCCAATGGGGTCAGCAGTTTACTGTATGGGTACTTGTGCTGGGGACCTCTAGGAATATGCCAGGAATGATGCTGAGGAGGCCATATGGTGCCAGGGATTCAGCCAGGTCAGGCCACCCCAGCAGAGCTTGGGAGGTACATCTAACTCAGTGCTCCAGATTGCTCCCAGCTCTGCTCAAGGAATCTTATGGTTTGGGGTTTCAAAATACCCTCCCTCATTCAAGGCATATGCTCAGTCTACTGGCCTATCTCTCTAACCATGTAAAGTTTCATTCTTTCAAGGCACTATCCACGTTTCCTATCTCAATGCAGTAAGATGCTAACATAATTTTTGTTTACTTCTTGCTGTAAGAATCATGTTTTGAGAGTATCGTCTCTTCTCTGTAAATTATCATTTGCTTTTCATTCCGCCAGGAAGCTGTGGTCATGTAATTGTGATAGCAGCATAAATCAGTGTAGATTTTAGAATAGAATTGTATCTTAAAGTGAAAACCATCCTGGGAAATCATATCCATGTCCTGAATATACTTTGTTGATTTTGTGTGGCAGGAAAATTGGTAGTATATTTGAAAACTAATGTTACTTATAGATGCTTTTGGTTTTATTATAGTAAATTCATAAACTAGATTGATCTTGTCTCTAAATTTATACACTGAAGTCCCAGACTTTTTTCCAGTGATTTTAGATATTTTTAATTTTCCAAAGGATATCAAGCTCTTTACTCAGAAGATGCATTAGTCACTTTCTGTGAGAAATGTGAGTGCATATTCTTGGGATTTTGTTATCCAGATACATTTACGAAGAATTTAAATAAGAAAATAGTATTACCAAAACTGTTAGATCATTTTCCTCGAGACCAAGAATGAAGATTAGGACTCTAATTGCAGTCTGCTTTGAACTCTCACTGAACACACTTCAGAATTTAGAATTTTTTGTGTTTTACCCATTATGGGGCTGGAGCGATAGCACAGCGGTAGGGCATTTGCCTTGCACGTGGCTGACACGGCCAATCCGAGTTCGATTCCTCCGCCTCTCTTGGAGAGCCAAGATACCGAGAGTACCTCGCCCACACGGCAAAGCCTGGCAAGTTCCCCGTGATGTATTCGATATGCCAAACACAGTAACAGCAGTCTCACAATGGGGGCGTTACTGGGCCCACTCGAGCAAATCGATGAACAGTGGGAGGACAGTGCTACCCATTATGAAGAGACATTTTGTAATTATTATATTCATCAAGAGAAAGCAGTGTTTTTATGCTAATGAGGGTAGAATTTCTTAGATAAAGAAATTCTCAGGTTATGTATATTCAGATGTCATTAACTAGGTGAATTTTCTGTAATTCAAGATGCAATCTGTGAATAATGTTTTCTAAGGGGACGTGAAATATACTATTATCCAGTTATTCCATCATGCTAGAATAGTGACAAGACCCAGGACCATCCTGTTCTACTGAAAATATATACGGTGGTATTCTTTTACTATTTAGATTGTTTGTGTCTTTTTTGCCATTTAGATTGATTGCTTCCTTGATACTTGCTGTAGAAGACAGAAGACTGAAAAAAAAAATAGAGGGATAGAGCTGAAGAGATAGTACTGGGATTAAGGCACTTGCCTTGCACATGGCTAATCCGTGTTTAATCCCTGGCACTACCAGAAATGTCCCCTAAGCACAGAGCAAGGAGTAAGCCCTGAGCGCTTAATGAATGTGGCCCCTGGCCCCGAGACAAAAACAAACAAACAAACAAACAAAAACCTGGAAAAAAAGGTGATGTGAAATGAAACTATTGATTCATTATTTTATTGAGCGATAACATAGCGATAGGGCATTTGCCTTGCACGCAGCCAACATGGCCGACCCGAGTTCGATTCCTCCGCCCCTCTCGGAGAGCCCGGCAAGCTACCGAGAGCATCTCGCCCGCACGGCAGAGCCTGGCAAGCTCCCCGTGACGTATTCGATATGCCAGACACAGTAACAACAAAGTCTCCAATGGAGACGTTACTGGGCCCGCTCGAGCAAATCGATGATCAACGGGAGGGCCTTTACTTTTTACTTTACTATTTACACATATGACAATGATAATGTCTTACACATAAGACATATCTGCAGAGGAAAAAATGATGGCTGTTTTCACTGACAGAGAATTTTGAATTTTAATTTTTTTAATTCAGGTATTGCTTTTTTAAATCAACTCAGGTGGATAGTTTAAAGGATATTTTGGTGCCTAGTAAATGAAAATGTGCTTCTTTTCACAGACCAGTGGTACAAGAAGAACAGAAGATAGCCATAAAGAACGGCCGGCACCCTGTGATCGATGTACTGCTGGGAGAACAGGAGCAATATGTTCCCAATAATACAGATTTATCAGTAAGTGTCACATTATGCACCCTCCCCGCCGTTGCAAAACTATTGTAACGGTGATACCATCAGTTATCTAGGAGATGCTTTCTAGGACTCCTTGAGCTGGAACTCCTTCTTTAGCATGCCTAGGAAGCGGATGTTTGAATTTGCCATTTTTTAACCATTTCCTTATCGCTGGACAGTCATTTGGGTTCCAGTGAGCTTGTGGGAGATTGCAAGTTATGTAGAATTAACCTTGCCAATGATAAACCATGTCCTATGCTAATCAAAGCAGTTAGGGGAGGCTTTACTCGGTAATATTACTGCAGTTCATGAGAGACCAAAGTCAAGTGAATTCCATTTCACTGTGTACAGAGGTGACAGGATGTTTTAAAGGAAGAACAGGAGAATAGGGTGGGGGAATGGGGTTAAACAGTGGGTAGATCTCTACCAAAGTAAGAGATGTGGAAGTTTATAAGAAGTTTATAAGAAGCAGGGAAGGAACTTAGTTAAGTCCTTTGGTTTTACTAGCTGCCAGTGAATACTTTCCACAAGGTAGAAAGGAAAAAGGGAGTGACATCTTTGCTTTGTTTTTGGTGGAGGCCATACTCAGAGATGCTCAGGACTTACTCCAGGCTCTGCCCTCAGGGATCACTCCTGGCAAGCTCAGGGGACAATATGGGATGCTGGAGATTGAACCTGGGTGGGCTGGCCATGCACAAGACCCTACACACTGTACTTTCATCTGACCCAAGGCGGGTAAGGGGTTGGGCGTGTGTAAGATCCTTGAAGGTTAGCATTTCAGACAGATAACTCTCAGGTTCTTGAGGATCCCATTATAAATGGTATCTTAAAGAGACACAGGAAAGATTTTTAATAACAAACTTTGTAAAATAGTTAAGAAGAGGTTTAAGGGCCCATCTGCCCAAAGGCAACATTTTCCTGAAAACTTTGTGCTTTATGATAAAAAGTCCTTAGGGGCACTGTGATTATTCTAAGAATGTGGATTTGAGTTGATAGAAACTTTTCTATTATTTGTCATGGTCTCTAGTTAGGAAAGGTAAATGAAATTAATTGTGCTGAAAAGATGTAGTTTTATGGGCCATGGTTGAGGCCAGTTCAAGAGTAGTACACAAAGGAGCCTGTCAAGAACTTAGTGAAGGATTACAGTCATTGTCAACATAGAATCCACTATCTGATCATGAGACTTTAAGAACTTATGTTCTGGCATCATTACATAAGAGAGCTTGTATCAGAAAGTGAGATTTCTGGGATCAGAGCAATAGTACATCAGGTAAGGCACTTGCCTTGCTGCTGCTGACCCAGGTTCAATCCCCAGCATCCCACATGGTCCCCCAAGCATCACCGGGAGTGATTTCTTAGTGCAGAGACAGAAGTAATCCCTGATCATCACTGGATGTCCCCTGTCCCCCTCCTCTGAAGAAAAAAAAAAAAAAAAGGGAGATTCCTGACTTTAGGATTTTATTTATTTATTTATTTTTGTTTTTTGGGTCGGGCTGGAACGATAGCACAGTGGTACGGCGATTTCCTTGCACGCAGCCAGCCCGGCCGTGCTGGGTTCGATTTCTCTGCCCCTCTTGGAGAGCCCAGCAATCTACCAAGAGTATCTCGCCCAAACGGCAAAGCCTGGCAAGCAACCCATGACATATTCGATATGCCAAACACAGTAACAAGAAGTCTCAAAATGTAGACGTTAACTGGGCCTGCTCGAGCAAAATTGATGAAAACGGGATGACAGTGTTGTGTTGACAGTGTTGCTTTTTGGGTCACACTCGGTGTGCACAAGGGTTACTTCTGGCTCTGCACTCAGGAATTAATCCTTGCAGTGCTCGGGGGATCATATGGAATGCTGGGAATTGAACCCAGGTTGGCCAGGTACAAGGCAAACACCCTACCCACTGTGCTATCGCTCCAGCCCCCTGACTTTAAGATTTTAGAGGTGGTCTTCTGAGTGGTGGTAAGATTCTAGGTGTGACCAGGGAATGTGGAGCACCAATGTGGAGACAGTCCTTGGAGATAATGAAGGTCAGGGAACAAGGTTTACAAAATTTTCATCCAGGTGAATGTTGAAATCATCTAAGCTAAACAACAGGATTTGTAGCAGAAGAGAATATGGCTCAAGTAACCAGCGATTGCAAGGGGTGGAGATTGTGACAGAAAGTTTATAGATGCCTGGAATGCAGACAAGAAGAGGCAGAGGTGAGAAAAGCCACTGAACCCTGAGATGGACAAAGAATGTGGCAAAAGGTCAGCTTCCAAATGCAGGTTTCAGTTGCAGAGAAATCTGGCGGGGGAAAAGAGGACCTTCAGTTCATGCTAGTGTGTGAATTTAAACGTAGAGGTTAGGAACAGGGAAGTTTTCAGATTGACAGTGAACAAATTGACATACAAGCGCTAGTTTGAAATTAAGTGATAGCAAGCAAACCTAGAATGTCAAGGGATTTGGGAATATACAGAATATTCTGTCTTGGGCTATAATGCAGGGGTGATAGATCTGCACATGGTGAATTTAATTTGGCTGGCTGCAAGAGTGATATGCCTAGGGTAGTGCTTTCTGTTACCTCTAATGTTACTTTTTAATATCACAGAACCAAAGACTTGTTGGTAGTATATAACTCAGTCCTCCAATGTATATAAACTTCTTCACTCTGATAGGGAGTTTGTAAATTTATCAAGCCAAGTTAGTAAGTACTAATTCTTTTTCCTCTTTAAAAAAAAGACTGTGTTGGCAGGGCTGGAGCGATAACCACAGCGGGTAGGGCGTTTGCCTTCCACGCGGCCGACCAGGTTCGATTCCCAGCATCCCATATGGTCTCCTGAGCACCACCAGAAGTAATTCCTGAGTGCATGGGCCAGGAGTAACTCCTGTGCAAAGCCAGGTGTGACCAAGAAAGCAAAAAAAAAAAAAAAAGACTGTGTTGGCAGGAGTGATGGTATAGCAGGTAGGGGGTCTTGCCTTGCATGTGCCTGAACCATGTTGGATTCCCTAGTACCCAACATGGTCCCCCAGACACCTCCAGAGTGATTCCTGTGCACAGATTCAGGATTATACCCTGAGAACTGCCAGGTGGCTCCGCTACCATGAAAAAAAAAAAAAAAAGAAGAATGTGACTATGTGAATTTCTTTTTCAGTTCGCATAGTATTAAAATCAGATATAATATTTTTTTAGAAAGTAATGTAGTTCTAACATCTAGTATATTGGTTTCTATTTTACTTCAACATTGTCTCCTATTATTGTTCCTATTCCCCAGGATGCCAATCAATTTTATTCCCAATTATGTTTTTTTCTTTTTATCTTTTTATTCTTTTTACTTCTCTTTTAGAAAAATAGTTGTATATTATGATATTTAATAATAGCCTGTTGGCTCGCTGAAAGAGTGTTTTAAAGAAACAACTCATATTTAAATTTCTAAAAACAAATGGAGTGATATATTCCAGTATCCACCTCAGAATATTCCAGAATATTCATTTCTTTTACATATGCTCTTTCTAACTTGAGTAGGAGTTGATATAGAACTGTTGCTATGGTGAAGTGCATTCTATTTTGTAGGATATAAATTTTTATATATAAGGATTGTGTTAAAAAAGAACTTACTATGTAAAGCTCAATTTTAGATATTTTATATGTGTTAATTATAAGATTTATACTGTAAATAATTTCCTGAAATTCATCTGGCACTGTTGCTTTGATGATAATTTAATTTTAAGAAATGGTCTTCTGTACATACAATTACATATATGCTTTTCTGTATTCTATTAACTTATTGGGCTAGAGCGATAGCACAGCAGGTAGAGCATTTGCCTTGCATGCAGCCAACTGGGCCAACCCGAGTTAGATTCCTCTGCCCCTCTTGGAGAGCCCGGCAAGTTACCGAGAGTATCTCTCCCGTACGGCAAAGCCTGGCAAGCTACTCATGGCATATTCGATATGCCAAACACAGTAACAACAAGCCTCACAATGTTACTGGGCCCGCTCGAGCAAATCGATGAAACAGGAGGACAGTGCTGCACTGCTATTAACTTATTATAGTGCTTCCAAACAAGCCAGTTTTTTGCTCAAAATTTTTAAATATTCTTTTTTTTTACTATCTCATATTTATTTATGAATCTTTTGTTAACATAATTTTTGATTACTTTGTTCTTAAGGTTTTTGACACATTTTGTGTCAGTATTATGCTTAATGTCAGCCTTACAATGAAGAAAGAGACATAATACCTTCCTAATCTAATAGAAGATATACCAAATTAAGTTGACACCAATAGAATACTTACAAAGACTGTAAGGGACTAACAGATTAACCAGTAGAAAAGTTGGCAACATTTTTGAATAGACATTTAAAAATACAGCTTTTAAGACTATCCAGCTTTTAAGACTTAAATAATTGAATATATTTTAGAGGGGGGGTGTGGGGTTGGGGCCCACCTGACAGTGCTCAGGGATTACTCCTGGCTATGCACTTAGGAATCACTCCTGGTGGTGCTTGAGGGACTCTATGGGATGCCTGGGATCAAACCTGTGTTGGCCTCAAGCAAAGCAAGTGCCTTACCCACTGTACTATTCTCTGCACTCCTTAATGAACTTTTAATAACCTGCTATTTTAGGTTTCCTTGCCTAATAGAGCACAGACTTGGAGAGGAACTGTGGCCTAGCAGTCTCTTTGGGAAGTCTGATGAGGAGCGTAATGTGGAGATGGGTGTGAAGACTAGGAGAGAGCTCTGAGCACTCTGAGTTATGGGATTTGACCGACTGGTTGATTTTCATTTCTCCCCCAACACTTCCCTCTTTTTTGCGACATCCAGACTCACACATGCTTAGAGGCAGTGCTTGCATGCCTGTCTGTGCCTGCTCACACCTGCTCGTGGTGCGCTGGAGACAGCACACTGCTGCAGCACCGGGAGTCCAAAGAACAGAGTGGCAGGGACTACACTTCGACGTGGGCCTGCGCTTTCGGTCATAGTGCAGTGGCTGCACTCTGGTGAGGCGAGCACTCCATGGCCAGCCAGCC